ATGGCCTCCTAATAATACGGGTCTATGAACTGGCTTCATCACCCTGTTCTCCTCCCCACTGATAGCTGGTGTGTGGTGAGTGTGCTGGTGCAGAATTGGCTGCTGTCACATCATCCAAGTGGGGCTGCACATTGGTGGTGGTGGAGGGGAGTCCCTATTACCTGTAAAGTGCTTTTAGTGTAGTGGCCAGAAAAGCGCTATGTAATTGTAAGCAATTATTGTTATTATATATAAAGCTGCTTCCCAATTTTAGTTTCTCTTGCGAAAATACAAAACAATAACGTTTTTAATCAACATCTCAAAGTTTCAAAAATTTCTGGGTAATGTGGTTCAGACCAAAGCTACTATTTTATCTCGACTGGCCATCCTGTTAAGTACCAGTGAAGGCTATTTGAGACCAAATGTCATGCAAACCAATGTGTCAAGGCAGTTCTCTAAGAATTTAATTATATACTATAAGAATATGCTTTTCTAGGTATATGACACTGGTCAGTTTTGGAAGTGATATAAATCTGTCAACAATAGTAATTCCCCACTAATGCAATTTTTACATTGGAATAATTTATTTTAAAGAGGGATCTAGTCAAAATGAGCTGGACATCGCATGATGTTTACCACTGCAATTTAAGTTGCATGCCTTTCCTATTAATATCACAGAATTACTTTGCTAGTGTGGGAAGATGCTTTGCAATCTTTAATAAACAACTTGCCGACACAGAAGCTGCTTTTTGAATGTAGAAATTCTTGGAAAAAAGCAATTGCGAACACAATATGACAGCTCTAAACATGAGACTGTCATAAATCCTGCATTTGTTTGCGGCAACATGTTCAAAACTTCAATGCTGCAAGTAGAAAACAAAATCTGGAATAATCATTAATTTTTTTCCTCTCCTTACTTTTTCTGAATCCCATATCCTGCAAACAAACAGAGTTTCTTTTAAACTGGCTTTACAGCCTGGTTTGTGGGATTGAGGTAATGCGCTTAGTGGTGTTGACTTCCACAAGGGTGGGCGTCCCATGCCTGCACAGGGTTACCCTGCCCTCAGTGTGGATAAATGTGGCAAAGAATGAATCAGAATCACTTTATGTGTACATGACAAAATGTCTTTATGTATCAGGCTTGTGGTACAGTATTTCACGTGCCAGTGCAGGCTCATTGAGACCACATGTTTTAGAAACTGATGTGTCAAGGTACTTTTCTGAGCCTATAAGTAAGGTTAGAAATTAGAGGAGGCCATCTGGCCTGATTGGTAGTTTCTTATTGATTCAAGGACCTCATCCAGTTATTTCTTGAAGGATGCCAAAGTATCATCTTCAACCACATGGCAAATGAGAGTACTGTAAATACTGTACTTCCCTCATAGTCTTGGTTATACAGTAAGTGGCTTGCACATAGTTTCCACTTGAGTCCTCTGTTCATGTTTCCCACTGTTCATTCTGAAGAAGTCCACTGTGTTGACTTTGTCAAGCCTTTTGAGGAATTTGAATACTTGCATTAAGACGTCATGTAGCCTTCTGTGTTCTCTGCTTCTTTGTGTCCTGTTCCTTCAGTCAGTCAGTGCGGCACGTTCCTTTAAGTACCAGAATGTGTATGGTAGCTGTTCTCTGGACTGTTCTTCATTCCATTGTTGCATTCCCTGTTAGAAAACAAATTTAACAGTGTCCTCTCACAACCCTGGAGACCCAGATTCTCTTTTCTTGGCTTTTTATTAATAATGTGATAATCTAATAATAATGGTAATGTTTCTTTATTATCCCTATACATTTTCTTGCATTAGGAATTCGTCTTTTTGCATACCCCAGCTTTTCTCCATGAGACACAGGCACACAGACAGGGAGAGAAACTTGGGGTCAGAGCTCAGGGTTAGCCATTATACGGCGCCCCGGGAGCAGTTGGGGTTAAGGGCCTTGCTCAGGGGCTCAACGGAGTAGGATTCCTCTGCTGGCTGCGGGATACGAACCGACAACCTTCCAGCCACAGGTGCAGATCCTGAGCCACAGAGCCACCGCTCCGCCCCGCCCCTCCAATTAATAGACATTGGAAAAATTCACCTTGAATCCAGTAGTGTGTATACAGTAGTTTATTGACTACATTCCAACATTATTTCATATAATGCTACTACAGCTAATATGTATAAAGTATATATTTAGCAACGCTGTGATTTGGTGATTGTACATGTTCAAACTTTTAGATGATATATATATATATTCCAGACAGTGCTGCTCCAGACATGAGCTACTGTATGTCATTTTTTGACTTGACCATGGGACTGACCATGTGGCTGTGCCAGACTGGATGAATGCCAGTGTATCATTGTCAAGCAAGAGTGTTTAGCACTGTGTGCCAGGGACTGGTGAGCTTGCAGGGTCATCAGTGTGAGTTGCAGCTCCCCTCCCTCTCTGCAGCAGATGGCTTGACAAGAACACATCCAGGTGGACATGTTTGCAGTCTGCCTGTGCAACATAAAGCTTGACTGTTGGAAAATGAGGTCATTGCGAATTGGAGAATCCAAATCAAGGAGTTAAAGAGAAATACATTTAATTGCAGTAAGAATAATCTATGTTATCATTGTATAGTCTCCCATGATGATGTTTCATAACAGCTAGTGTTGTGGAGTGAAAACAAATAACTGAAAAAAAAATGTTATTCCATCAAGCATTTGTTGCTGAGTGAGCTAGGTGACGAAGGTCTATCATTAGTGTGCTATCATTAGTGTCACATGTGCTGCACCTATGCACCTATGGGGTACATTTTTGTCTTCAGTTTGTTTCTCTGGCAAATCAATGTGGCTGAGTCGTGACCCTTCATTCACCAAAACACAAACCTAGTACCCAGTATACTAAATAGGAAAATAGAAGCACAGGACATTTTCTTCTCAGGAACAACTGAGAATGACAGCATTATTTACCCAAAAGATAATGAAAAGGAGGGATTTTCTGTCCATATGTTTAAACAGATATTTCGCTTCACTGGCTAAACACCTAAAATATTAAAGTAGCTGCCATATCCATCTTATTGCCATATTAAGCTGAAATATGTATTTTAATTGTCTTGGTTTAATGTAGCATGCCAGCGCTATTATTAATTCAAATCATTTACCCTCTGAAAGCACATAGAAGTGTTTTACTGTCTGTCCAATAATTACATCAACAGATAAATATCTAAGAGGTTCAAAAAGCTTTGTTTAGCTTTGTTATTGTAAACTTTGACATAGCTTAGTCATGACGCCAGCAATGCAGATGTCAGAAACATCATAAAATAAGCAACTCAGCCATGACAATTGGATTTATCTCTCGCAGACACGTTAAATGTTTAATGTAAAACATACTATAGGATTTTGCATTTAGATGCAAGCTTGTTTTGTTTTTCTCATGCAGTCATGATGTTAAAAAGGAAATATTTAATGTAAGGATATTTCTGAACAGTGTACTACTGCTACTGAATATTAAATTTATGTTGATCATTTTCATTAATTAGATGCAATACATTTTTAAAAGCTCTTTTAAAACTGAGGTTTCCAGTCTCGTTGCTTTTTGTTTATGACATTGCTTATACTGACCAAACATAAAGCTGTTTGAAGCAGTTTGATCAAATGGGGGAGATGCATCAGTACACAAGCTCTACTTCTAAAAGACAAGTAGAGTTTAATTCTGTACTCAACAGCTAAGATGTAGCTTTTTAAATCATTTGGCTGTGGAGCAATGAAATTCAACTGTACTTGCCTTTTAGAAGTAGAACCTCTAGTTCTTCTTTTAAAGACACCTGTGACACCTGAGTCAATATCTGGTGATTAGTTGTATTACCTGGCTTCAGTTATTATTTATGCTATGACAGACACCACTTGGATCTGTAGTGAAGTTTAAAGACACATAAAGGAACCTTTCAGCTGTGTCTTCAGGCACTGTCCTAAAGTTTGCTATGACAATTGTTTTCCTTAACATTTCTTTTTACCAATTACACTGACACTTTCCAAAAAGTAGACCCGAAGTACCATGCTTCCACCTACAGTATTTTCCTGTATTGTTTATAGGACTGAAGATGATTTTGAAATAACATGGTTGTATCAATCATTTTTCTATTATGTTGACTAAAATGAAAAGCTATATATGGACTGCAAAATACTAATACAGTAATTTTGTACTGATTTTAATACATTTTCTTTTTGGGGTCCATAGTTAGTCCTTGTACAGTAAATAACATACTGGATAAAATTAAAGGTATTCATACATTTAAATCTATTAGACTATTCTGGTGACCTGTTTGCATCAAAGCCACCTTATTCATAATTATCAGGATGAAGATTTAATGAACACGTATCCTGACTTCACAAGACTACATTTATGAGAATAAAACTATTCTATGAGATAAAACTTAATTGGGAATGTGTCTTATTTAATGCTCTCTTTTAAATACTCATACTATAATTGATATAATAGGGAACAGACCTGAAAGAACCTAGATTTGTAGAGGACGTATCATATATACTGTATATACAGTATACTGTATATGTATTTAGAAAAGAAACTGGATTATGTGTGTTACACATGCAGGATAAAACTTTGACTCAATGTAAACAATAACTAGTTAACTACTTGTACTGCTTTGAGCTTTATTTCAAAAGTATAAATTTGAAAACCAAATGAGACTTCAAAGAAATAACAAAAAATTCTGGCGAACCTTCTAGCATGATGCCAGAACATTCACAGTTGCAAACAAAATTGAGTGACACGAACTAGCTCAATGTAATTTTACTGTTATTGCCTTCACTGGTGATCTAGCAATAATGTTAGTAATCTGCAATAATTCCAAGTTTTTTCTTTTCATTATAGCGAAGCTTTCATTATGACTTATTGCGGCTTAAAATGCTTTTTGTCCCCATAAAAATGATAATTGCTTCTCATTATAACAGATTTGGCTTTAATATTTAGCAATTGTTGCAGAAATACTGCAGCACATTTTAAGGTCCTTTCTTCTAATGTGACTTTTTCATCTGAACTAGCGTCAACCAGTCTGGGATTCCGAGCTCATGTCTGCCAGAGGGGGAACCTCCCCAAGCCAGAAACAACTGAGGGAGTCCTTCTTCAGTAAGGAACTGCTGTGTATGGAGAAACATCTTGCTGGTATGTGCGCACGGGCATTTTTATTAAGCAATGAATATTGAGGGCTAAGATAAACCCCAAACTCTGCATTGAATCCACTGTTTTATTATCAGTGACACATCTGAAGAAAATTTTAATCAGCCCTTTGTTCTTGCCCCCAAAATATTTTGGAACCAAGGAGCTTGATTGGCTGACTAAAAACTGATCTACCAATTAATGAATTTGGAAAAACAGTCACCGAGGACATCTTTTACTGATTTAACAAACCAAGCAGCACCGAGTCAAAAGTGTGTGTGTGTGTGTTTGGGAAGGGGGGAACTGGCACATTCATGTCTGGGAATCAAAAACGATTGCTGCGCATGACCCAGTGTATTTTATCATTTTCTTGAAACGATGCAAAGATCAGGCAATTCTACAGCATTTGTAAAGAGAAAGGCTTAAGCTGAGGATTGGAAAAGTTTTTATTAGTGACTTGAAAGTCTCATGGTAGACCAAAGGCAACACTACCATAAGGCATCAAATTTAAGACATGTGCCTTCCAGTTCTTTGTTTGTTCATGTCTTGCCTTTTATTTTGGATCACTGTAGCAAACCACATATATTTTAAACTGACCAAGTTATGCAAGGCACATTGTGTACTACTCTTTAGAGTATTATGACTCATGCTAATCATTCTAAATTCGAATCCATATGCAAATTGCAAGTCTTCTCACTCTCAGTCAGACAATACATTTTACCATTTACTGCCTTCAAGAAAAACTTTTCACATACTGTATAAGGACACCTTTTGTGACAAAAGATTCTTGCTATCCTAAATCTTATCATATAAGGCTTTCAAGCCTTTAGATTGAATTGACAATGTGTTATTTTGTGGAAAGCTGTTTTGAAAAAGTAACACCTCAAAAAAGCAGTGCACTTACCCCTTGAACAGCCTAATTTCCTCCTTCTAGAATGTATTATCTGATAATGTTTAGCAATTTCTCAATTTAAGTTTATTTGCATTTTTGTGGTCACCTTAATTTCTTTTCTTTTTTGATAAGCCATCCAATTTTTAACAAAGATTCAAATTACTTTACTTTAAAGTTTAAAATACTTTATATTAAAGTTTGTCGATTAGTGTGGTTTCCACCTACACAAATTTGGTTTAACGTGATTTCATCAATAGGACCTACAATTTTACCCCTTTTCTCTCACAGCTCACACATTCATACTATAACTCGCTCTTACCTCTGTTATTTCTTCTCTGTAAATGATATTCAAGCACAGCATATACATAATAAGGCGCAAACTGAGAGTTTATATCAAAATATAGTGTTAATAAAGCAGTTACATTTCTAAAACGTTTGATTTTAAGTTGAGTCTGGACTGCAGTCTTGCTGCATTTACATTGTTGCTTATGGGAATTTTGTGCATAACTAACACAATTCCACCTTACATGAGAATTTTGAGAAACTGTATATTTATATTTATAGATGACACAATGACAAAAACAGAATAGACATCTTTGGGATTTTTCTGGCCACATGTGCTCTTGACTTAAAGCCTTCCACATTCTTGGGAGAATAATGTCATTTTGTATTCTTGATTTTATTGCATAAGAAATTTATAGAGATTCCCATTAACTGATTTTTATATACAGCTGTTGGTACCCATTTATAAAGATGGGTTTGCTGGAACAGTCTTGGAAAAATACCTTGCTAAAGGGAATGGATCTGTTTCTTGCTATTATAAGACATTTTACCGTCTTTAGTGCTACCTCTCTCAAATGAATACAGTTATAATTCATAATAATAAGGAATGAATTTGGGTCCTTCAATTAAAAATAAAGATGTCTGCAATTGCTAATTTAAAAAAGCTTAGTCATTAGTACATTTATAATATGAAAATGCTGCTGTTCTGACATCATCTTTTAGTTTGCCAGTCCGGGTAGTCCCATGCAGTCTGAATCTAATATTGCCTCCGTCATGTGGGAAGAGTCATTTTGAATGCAGCCTAGTATCTCTTTGATTGTGTTCAGCTCAGCCCTTTATAAAGTCACATTCTTAGATCATAAGTCAATACGGATACTAAAATGTTTGTCTGAAGCTGTTTTTGCACTGCATTGCACTTGTTATAATATTTAAGCTATATATATTAGTTAAGCAGTTCATATAAAAAATGATAAGGGGTCATGTTGGATGCTTAACAGACTGGCTACTGTTAAAACAAATAACAAAATAACTTCAATGAACTTCAATGAATCAAGTCAATCATATACATTTATCTTAAAATAAAGTGATGTTTAAAATGTTAACCTAACCTAAACCTAAAATATTAGGTTTTATATTGTAAATTCTTTGCTGTTCTCAAGTAGTTTCCTCAATTGTTGTCTTAATAACTTCCATTAAGAATATAGTAAAATAGTCAAATTATCAAATGCAGATATATGACTTGTAACCACTATTTCAAATATTATCTCAGACACTTGTATCAGGTGATACAAAATAATATCAAGATTCTTCCTAGGTTCATTGTACTAGGCTGAATTATAATTTACACCTCAATTGGAGTCTTTAGCATATTTTCAACACTATACATGTATGATATACACTGTTAATAAATGTCAGTGATGATGAATGTTGAGTATCAAACAGTGAACCTGTCCAATATGTTCCTAAGGAACATATAGACAAGAAAGCTACATCTCATTTAGAATGGTAGAATTTAAATTAAATTTGATCAAATTAATAATTAGCAAAATATTTATGTTTGAAATTTGTTGATATGTGTACTTACTGGAATAGGATTCAAGAAATTAAATAATTTCCTTGTTTATAATTTTGAATGCATCTTATCGTCTTTTCTTTATTGTCTGCATGTGAAATATACAGTATTGACAAACTTGTATTATCAGGAACACAAAAAAAATTAACTGCATTGGTTTTGTATTGTGGGAAAAGAGCAATTTGTTCATAAATGAGGCAATCCTACTGCAAGAAAAACACCATCTTTAGCATGCAATTTATAATTTTAATGCTATAATTATGCCATTTATATGTAGATTTTACACTTTTTTAAACTGAATATTCCATATTGTGTGACTATATACTTGAGTGCATTTTTCATATCTTTAAAAGTATTAATTTTCTATAATCTTGTTTACAAGGAAAATGTATTTAAGAAGTATGCCTTAGTAGAATAACTGGACATAGTGTACACTATAATCCAAGACACTTTGCTTGTTGTGACAGCTGCAATTTTGTATATAAAATGGAAGCATAACTGGAATAGATTACATATTTCAGTATAATTGATAATGACACCATTTCCTGAGAATATTTTATTAAAACTCATTTCCCAGACTGTGTTTAAAACCTGTTATCATCTACCTCACTGTGCTAAAGCCAAAGTACTACTGAGTTCCGATCATCCAAAATCCTCCTGTCACGCTCTCACATAATCAGTCACCTAACCTTCCTAAGTCTCGCAAACGCCGGCGCATTCCCATGGCCACAGTTAATCAGACACCAGCCCGATCCGATTCCTGAAGAACGACGGCGCGCGATCTAATCGTCCTATCACGTCTCTCGCCTCCCACCGCAGCTTCTATTTAAACCTTCCTCAACCCACACTTCACTGCTTGTTTTCCTGAGCTCCTCTCCCTTTCGAAACCTTTGCGGACCCTCTCTTCAGCCTCCTGGATGTCGACATTGCCTGCCTACCCGACTCCGACTCCGTCTTGCCCTGTAGGGATTGTTCGCTAGGGTTCTTCATACCTTCCATGACACCTCCAAAAGATACAGTATGCTGCTTATTTTTAACCCTATGTCATGCACTGTATATACTAGTGTTGTATATGTCAGATTTAGATAATTTTCTGCAGGAAGCGTTCAAGGAATAAGATGATGATCTAGAATATGCTTTGGATTTTGATGGGCAAATATGGATTGGAAATGTAGATTTTTCCTTTGTGCAGTGACGCATTATGGGTGTTTGAGGGAATTTGAATGTGGCCCCTATTGCCCACTGACAGTGATGTAGCATGTTCAAATCACAATCACAAGTGTTGTGCACAGCTTGGGAAATGTGTGCACACTTCTCTTGCCACATAGTAAGATAAATTTCAAACGGTGTGGTACCTGGTACCATTAAAGATCATAGCAGACAGGAAGAGACTCTCAGCTCTGAAAAGTCTGCATAGTTCAGTTCCACTTAGAAATGTAACAGCAGCATGGCTCCATCCTTATAGAATTTAAGTGGAAAAGTGCCAGAGAACAAGTGAATGTCAGAATCTGTTTAGATAGTGATACATAGCAGACTTGTGGAACAACAAACACATTCCTGTCAACACTGTACTCTAATGATGAAAGGTGCTTTATGATAAAATGTGAAAAACTCACATCCGCAGTGCCATGGGTTATAGTTAATATACTCTTCAAGTTCAAGTTCAGGTTTATTGTCATTGTACTCATATGCAGGTATATGGTATGACGAAATGCTATTTAGCTAGCTCTCAGATAATAAGTAGTACAAAAAAACAACAACAACAACAATACAATTGTATAATTGTATATATTAGAAAGACAGAGACAACAGGCAGTGTGCAAAAACAACAACAGGCATTGTGCAAAACAATGACAGGCAATGTGCAAAACAACGACAGGCAATGTGCAAAACAACGACAGGCAATGTGCAAAACAACAAAAAGGTAACAGGTAATGTGCAAAAACAACATCAGATGTGCAAAAACATGCATCAACAGAATGAAATAAAAGGATAGAAATTATGTAAGTCATGTTTGTGCTAATAAAAAATATAATTAATAATTAATTAATTAATTTCTGTAGATACGTTTAGGATATTTTTATATCAGTTATGGCCAGAATCCAGAAGAATCCCAAAGAATCCATGTCTGGTGTCTACTACTGACAGCAGAAATTTCAATCCATAATTTGTTTAAAATGGACTGAAGCACAACCAACCTCCTCCACTGGACAAGGATGATAAGTTGATGTTTTCCTTCCTGGTTGAAGGAAGTATTGACACATGCTTAAAAAATGCAAATATCAAAACATGAAAGCAAGCATTTCCCAATCCTGGAGTTTTATCAGTGCACAGTGTACTTCTCTCCAATGTGAAAACCATACTGTATGATCTATTCCTCTGCTTTTCACCTTTGAGAATTATCTGGTTGATGTAAAAAGCCTTTATATACAGTACTGTGCATTGTTTAATTATGCTGGCCATTGAATTTCTTTCACATTTTAATGCCTTTAAGCTTGCAGTTATGACACTTTGAAATAGCAATTAATATTTCTTCTGTACAGTACATGACATACTCAAATTCCAAACAAGAAAACAAAAAAGAAGTCCATTGATAATTAATATGAAAGAAAAATGGAAAAGTTGTTGATTGTGTAAGTATTCAAAACCTGTACCAGGCAAACCTAAATTAATTTGAGTATACAGAATTACACCGTAATGAACCAGACAACTAGTTGAGTGGCCTCTGTGTGCAATGATAGCAGTTTACAGAATAATTATTTTGGTTAATCCTTCAGTCCGGTAGAGAATTTCAAGCAAACATTCAATCTAAATGACCAAAGAAATACTTTTCAAGGTGTCATAAAAGCAAGCTTAAAAGCAACAAAATGTGAAAACTGTGCAAGTCTGAATGCTTTCGCAAGGCACTGTAAATGCCGTTTCTGATCAATGAATGAAAACTGGTCCTCTGTCACACTAAATCATTAACCTCCAAACTCACATCTTTTTCGATCTACCAACTACACAAACAAAAATGAAAGAGGAGCATTTTTTTTTTTATTCGTTTGGTCTTCCAGTGGTATTGAAATGTAATTCCAAACAAATTGTTTGAAACTTGGTACTGCTTAACCTCAAAGAAAGAATGTCCAATTGATGTTATGGAACATTAAGAAAGGTACTCAAGGAAATAATAATTTCTATTCAACATTAGAGCATAAGAAAGTTGGCAAAGAAGAAAAGGTCATTTGATTCATCTAGCCATCATCTTTGAGCTGATGTGTGCTGAGCGTTTTGAGTGGAGTGTCCAGAAGAGTGCTATATAAGTGTAACAAATTATTATTATTATTAGACGCTTTGGTTGCTAGTAGGTAATTGATCTAAGGGTTTCATTAGACCTTTGTTGGAAAAATCAAGAGTTTCAGGTTCCCCACATAACCTTTTCAATTAAAGACTGGAACTGGTTTATTCTTTTAGTCTGTAAGCCTGGGAAAACATCTGGTTGCTGTCCTCTGGACTGATTCCAGAGCAGTAAGATAGTTTTAGGCTACAATTGTGCAGAGCATTCAAATGAATAATGTTAATGTTAATGTTAAAACATAATGTTACTATAACATCTCTTCATTTTACTTCTGTGTATCTAACTGTACATCCTGAGGCTCTTTTTGCTTTTTGCATTGCTTCTACATGTTGTTTAGACATTTACCCAGTCTTGAACTCTATCTAAAACTTTTTAGTTTCTTTTGCAATGTCTACTGTTTTGGAGTCATCTGCAAAAGTAACAAGTAAAGTAACTGTACCAGAATTAAGATCATTTATATAAATTAAGAAGAGCAGTGCTTTAAATACAGATCCCTGAAGTACTCCAGGAACATTTTCTCATTCTCTGGATCCTCTCTTTTCTATCTATAAACTACATCTCAATCCAAACACAGGTATTATCTTGAATGCCTACTTATTGAAATTTTGAAATTGGGACCTTCATCAAGTTTTCTAAAATGGAAATACTTCAAGTTGCATGTTCTCTGTGTGTCTATTACATTTGCTTCTCCAAAGAACTCTAAAAAGTCATTTTCATTTGACCTTATATTAAAACAGTACTAGTGTCCTCAGTGTCAACAAAATAATTTTACTATGACATGAAATTGTAGAATATTATTAAAGTAATATTTTATCATGAATGCGTGAATCATGAATAATATTATCATACTGAATATAATATAATTATGTATTATGTATAACTCAAAACATTATTGTATAATGTTTTATGTGTAAGCATGAAATACAATTTTATCAGATCTGATCAAATTTTGATCAGATCAAAATTTAATTTGATCACATTACATTTTTTTTAGCTCTTGAAGGTTCTTGTGTTTTCATCATATTGATCAGTTATTATTTTTTTAAACATAAGAAATAACATATTACACAGTTTTAACAGATATATTTTTTGTTGTTACAGAAGTCGAGAAGGATATTGCGAAGATGGCTGAAAGTACATTATTGAGGAGTCCTAACAGTCCTCACAGTAGTCTCCTTCTAACACCAGTTCTTCAAGGTGGTCTTCCGTCTTTGCCTGGTCCAAATTCTAGACCACAGTCGCCTGGAGGTTTTGCTGGTAAAAGCAGCCCATTATCTCTGCAAACCAACAAGCCAGTTTCCCTAGCAACAAGCAGACCACAAACGCCAAGCAACCATAACAGCAGGCCTCAAACTCCCAACTCACAGAGCAGCAGGCCCAGAACACCGTCAGGAAATAGGCCCGTGACTCCGAACAGCTTGATGCCACGACCTGTCACTCCTAGCAACCAAGGCAACAAGAATGAAAACTTTGGAAGTCAGAGGAGCAGACCAGTCACACCTACAAGTCAGAGTGGGAGGCCGCTGCTCACTCCAACAGGACTCACTGCTGGGGCAATAACTCCAGAGAACATGGGAAAAGCTCAAAGTCAACGGACCAATCTGCCAGAGGTAATAAAGAGACTGCAGGGATGTCTTGTTGAAAACAGTTATGAATCTTAATGGGAAATGATATTATATTTCAGTCCAAGAATGAATTAAACAGTTTAGCAGAAATATGCTTGAGCAAAGTGACTTTTCACATTCCTGGCATTACTGGTACTGAGGATGCTCACTTTAGCGCATTTTCTAAGAAACATATTTGGAAACTGATTCGTAACCCTTGATTGCTGTGTACCTCATGCATGGTCATGAAATTGACAAAATATGACAAGGGGTTTCAAATATTTTTTCCATTGTGCAATGAATCAACTTGTATTAAAATATTTGTAGATGTCAGTACAATATAGTAAGCCTTTAATTATTTGCTTTGATATTTTACATAGGAACATAAGGGAGGTTATAAATGAGAGGAGGCCATTAGGCCCATCTAGCCCATTAGCTAGTGGCTAGTTGTTCCATGGGCCTCATTCAGATGTTTCTTGAAAGACGTCAGGGTAATGGTTTCATCAATATGGCTGAGTAGCTTATTCTAAACTCCTTATATTTTATGCTGAGAACTTAACATCGATATACAGATTCTTCTTACTGTTTTATCCAGTACAGTGTCATGGGGAAGCTGGAGACTGTCCTGGCAAGTAACAGGCATAAGGCAGTATACGCCCAGGATGGGTCGCCAGTCTATTGCAGGGCAGACACACAGACACAAACATGCAAACACAATGCTAGGGCCAATTTTCCCAAAAGCTAATTAACCTACCAGTATGTCTTTGGGCTGTGGAAGGAACCCAGAGCACCTAGTGGAAACCCAGCAATACAAACCACAGAGCTGCCCTAGTAGCTAATATTTATGAACAAATTAAGCCCAAAACTATTTTAAGTAAAACTGTGTGACATCAATTAAGCAGTATATAAGAAGAAAGAAAGTTAACAAGAGGTTTATAAAATAATAAAAATAAGAAAATACCAAGAGGAAAAGGAATCATAAATGCATATTAAACAACACAGAGACAATGAGATAAACGAAAGGTATAAAAGGACAGAACATTTTTTTCTGCATTTTTTCATGTGGAAACATTTTTTCTACATTTTTTCATGTAAAAACATGAAAGGAATAGCAAACAATTTAAGGGATAATTGTGGATTATAATTACAAGATAGCAAAGCTTTAGCTAAAGAACACAACCAGTATTTTAGTGAGCATGTCACTGCTGATGAAACTAATAGAGTGCCTTTTGTCCTGACTAAACACTAAACCAAAATGTGTGTCAGTTTGTGCAACCAAAGTTGACACAATTCAGGTATCCTGAGTTTAATGCAGTCCTCAGTCTCTTTGCATGTGCCCAAGTATATGGACAATATTCCAAACAGGCCAGGTTAAAAAAATGTCAGACAAAAATTACACATATATGTGGTTCATTGTGTGTATCAAACAAATATGTTCATCAGGATCAGCAGGGTTTGACTGTGTCCATGTTTGCACTAATCTGTCGCTTTATATATACGGGTCAGCTATGATCTGTATTCCACGACAGTGGATGTGACGTGCACCATATTACTCAGGACTACTATTTTGTTAGTGGACTAAATTATCTGTGTTGTTATTTTGTGAGTGCTGCTGTAAAACGAATTTCCCCAAATGGGACAATAAAGCTTGAATTGAATTAAATATATAAGAAATTTATTAAATGGCTCATGTTAAAGTAAATAATGATCACAGAAAAATTCATTTTTTTTTAAGATTCCATCTGGGCATACAGTATACCTGAACTGTTAAGATTACCAAAATTATTACTGTTGAAGACATCCAGAAAGCCCATTAATTCTTTAACTTTGTATTGTTAGAATTGGGATTCATGGTTTAAGTTATAATCTCTAATACTTGTTCTTATTGTGAATAGAAAATAGGAGCACATCGTTAATATAGTAAGTTTTTTTACATAATATATTATATTCTTAACATAAAAGTCACAAAACATACATTATTGCATTTGAGGTAGCTGCAATACACTGCCAGAAGTAAGTGGAAAAAATGTGTCTGTGGTTTAAAATTATAGACATTAATAAAAGTTTTATTTTTTAAAGTTCTTTTTCTCATTGAGTAGCATTGTTAAATTTTAGTCCTTTTTTGTCAGCTCTATTAATCGCGAGCTGGAATTTCAGTATATTTTGTCAGTTCTTTTGCCTGTACTTCTGAGGCCTAGTGAGATTATTATAAACTTCAAAACCGCAAGTCACCTCTTATTAAAGCCACATGGGTTCACCCTAGTTGGCACAAAATCAACAAAATGAGAAAGGGGAAAAATGTATCCAGGGCTGTGAAAAATAAAATATTCCTTTAGATAAGTAGAGAGGGAGGCACAGTGGCACAGTGGTTAGTATTACTGCCTCACAGTGCTGTGACCATAGGCTCAGTTTCTTGGGATGCTATCTGCATGGAGTTTGTAGTGTCCAATGCTTTCTGGGATCTGCTGTGGCCCCTGTGACCCTGAATTAGATAAGCAGTTATTGAAAGTGAAGTGATAAGTAAAGACGTCAGAAGAATAATCCTTTCAAAATGTTTGTGTGTTGAAAAATGTTGCTTGTGTCTGTTTGGATCAGAGGATTTTATTCTTCTTGCACACTGTATTTATTGTGTTGATGAGGGATGAATATAAAGAGCATTTGTGTAAAATAATAGTTTTGGAAAAAAAATCCAATTTTTCTTGTGGAATCCTAATAACGCTATTGCAATACAATACTGATTTTTCTAGGGTAGAAAACCCAAAGCCTTTCAAGAGCCAAAAATGGAAAAATAAAACAAGTTACTAGCAGCCCAATATATAACCATTATGTGGAATCAAACATAATGTTTTATATTCCATCAGAAGAATACACACAGGTGGTGGAAAAAAAAAGCAAACACAAACAAATGTAAAGTCACTGATCATCGGACTAGCACATGGGGACAATAAGACCCGTTTGCACAGCTTTATAGTGTCTATCAGCATCTGGAATTCTGTAGGGATGTACTGTAGCAGCATTCTTTCACTAGAAAGTCAATTAACTTACACCTGGCCAGTGGGCACTGCTCTCCATAATTTATACACATGATATAGAGTAAATCCTGGTGCAGTTAGTAAGGTAGTTATGTTTGCTAACTTGCAAACTATGACTCCAAAATAAGAGACATTGTAAAGGAATTTTAGAAAAGGTTTAGATCGAATTCAAGACTGGGCAAACACTTTTCAGATTATATTAAATTTACATCCTCGATACAATGTTCAGAAGCAATGCAAAAGCCATATATAACCCCAGGATACAAATTGAGAACCACTGAGTCAAAGTGAAGAGATGTTATATAAACATTTACTCCTAACATTTGAGCAGTCTGTTTTAATTATTTATTATTATGCTTACGCTCTAAAATTTGAGTTCAGATAATCTGCAGTTGCATAATGTATACATATCACAGTCCTAGATGGTACATTTCTACCCACTGTTCAGCTTTCTTATGATATTTTTCCCTTTGAATTTTACACGATTGCTTGTAAAACATCAGCAATTTAAGCAGTCTTGATAATTGAAACCTCTAACACCTATAACGTTTGCCCACAATCATAGCCTCAATTAAAGGCAACCAGACCTGTGCATTTTATACACGATTATTAGCATGCTAGAATGCTATATCTCTAAAAATTAACAACTAAAAACAAAATCATGCCTTTAGTATGTTTTTCTATGAACCAGAGGATACAAGTGAAAGCTATAAGGATGTGTGTTTAAAACCAAAAAAGGAGGTATGTCTTTATCCAAAGGATTGGGACTATGGAACAAGCTACCCAGCCATGTTTTAAAGCCAGTAACCTAGCTTCTTTCAAGAAACCAGTTTATGAGATCCTTGAAGCTGCTAAATATCCAATGGATTAGGTGGGCCAAATGTCTCCTCTCATTTATGACCTTTCTTACATAACATATCAGACATTTTCATGCAACAATAGCTTATATATTAGATTGTTGTAGTAATATTACATATAAGGACAATACTTCCATTACTTTACAAATCAACTGGGACAGTTAACAAAATGCATAAACCATATGTTTTACATGGTATTAATAGTCCAGTTATATAAGATTAAATTTCATGGCATTACATAAAATCAGAATTGTAATCCTCTGTTCATTTCTTCCTATTCTGTTTTTGCAGTGAAGACTATGAAAAGATATTATAACAACTTCAGTGCTTGCTCTATCGGCATATTCTACTGTGAAATTTTTGTTTCTGCCTACACAAAGTATGCTGAAGGTTTTCCATTATTTCAGAGATTGGAAAAGTATGGCTTCTTTACAAAGTCAATTTAGGTTTCTATACCAAAGCTCTTACTAATCAATAGAAGAAAGTGTTCAGATTTACTTCCTTCTTGCACATGACAAACTAATCCTAGAATTCCTGTGTCATTTGCTATGAATGTGCTACATGCCGATGTACTGTATGGGAATCGGACCTCTTGTAAATTTCTTTTGGCATCATATTTGCAATGTTAAAAACAAGTTGAAATTGCAACACACAGTATTTCGGACATAAATGTCCGACTTAAATGCTACTTTTTTCTTTGTCTTTTTGCTTCATGTCTGTGAGCTGCATTCAGACATAAAGTAAATCTCACAAGAGATTCAAATCACGAGAGATCTATTCTCTGTCTCTCCATTGCCAATCTCTGTCAGCCGTTTATACATACTGTACATGTAACTGTTTTATATATATTTATATATAAGCCAGAAGCCTGCAACTCACAACCGGTAAGTGGTGTGAGCCTGGCCAGTTCCTTAGAGGGCAGACCTCCTGGGAAAAACTAAGGTTGCTGCTGGAAGGGGTATAAGTGGGGTCTGCAGATTAATAAACCCCATCTATTAATTTGTCCTAATGACTCATGAACTAATGTTCTCCTCCCCACTGAGATCTGGTGTGTGGGGAGTGTACTGGTGCACTCTGGCTACTGTCTCATTATCCAGGTGGGGCTGCACAAGGTGGCGGTGGAGGGGAGGCCCTATTACCAGTAAAGCACTTTGATTGGAGTGTCCAGAAAAGCACTATAAAAGTGTAAGGAATTATGAATAATTATATATGCTTCTTGTGCATTCTCTCTCAACAGGATGAGTTCTATCAGCAGTTACAGGCTGTTCGACAACCCTGGCTAATTCCTAGTGACACAGACAGTGACTGTGTGGATCAGCCTGATCAAGACAAATGTGAGTTCAGACCACTTAAGCTCTCTGTTAGACAAGTATAAAGGCAACCACTTAGAAGTGATTAAAGTCTCGTAAAGATCTTATTTGGGAGACAACCTTAAATGAGGTAGTAACAGAAGAAAAAAACATCTCTCTATAGGTTTTTCATCAAGGTGAGCTGATTCATTGCTATTTCTTTTGCCAATAATTTCTTTAAATTTAGTTGAGATGCACTTAAAATTACAGAGCAGGATCCTGTTCTGCTTAGGATTTGTATCAAGGGGCTGGTCTTCCAAAGATACACAAACATAATCTCTAAAAAGTGGAGGATTATCCATTAAAAACAGAAGCATTAAAACAGGGTTTCCTTTCCTGCATTCTCATGTCATACAGTATGTATGACTCAATAGATTCCTGAAACAAATATTTCTGAGCTATGTCTGGTTTCTCTTTCCTGTTTATTCCTGTTTCCTTTCCATTGTGATAAATAGTGTTAATCTTTGATTAAGGTTAATGTTGATTTAAACTTTACATTAAGGCTTCTTCAGTTTAAACTTATAGCAATTTAAGGTATGTTTTTTCTTAGTATGCCATCATTTATTTCATGATTCAGTTTCTTTGTCTGTTCTTTGTCTTTATAAGAAACATTTTATCACTTTAATCAAAAATAAGTGATATCATAACTACGTCAACAGGAACTTGGATACATCTCCTTAGATTATCAAAAGAATTAGGAGCAACAAATGGCAGATATACAAAAGAATATGTATCTTTTCTAAACCTTCATTGCTAATATTGTTTTATTTAAGGTTTTTATTAAACTTTATTTCACTGAGTATTTTTCTGTTAAATGATTTTATTGAACATTACCCATTTTTTATATTCTTTTATACATTTTTATTAATGTTCAACTATTTATTCACTAAATGTATTTGTCAACATACATTTTAAAATTGGAGATATAGAATGATATATTTTGCTAGAACAGGTTCCATGTATGTTGTCAGGCAGTGAGCAAATTCAGAAATGCATGAATTTCACCTTAATTCAAAACTATGATATCAGTTAACAAACAGACGATTTACCACACAGCATTTGCTTAAGTTGACCATTAGCCTGGCACTTGACTTTGCTAATTAAGATGATCAACATACATAAATTCGTGCATAGAAAAAGTACTGTTCTCACATCTTAGATTTTGTCAAATGTAAGTAGGCAATGAAAGAAAGGGGCTCGTTAAGCTTTTTGAAATCCATCTCAAAGAGCAAGAAATAAGTGCTTGGTATTGTAATACCATTCATAAATCTTGGCTGTTCTCAGATGTTCCAGAGTTCTGTCCCAGGACTTAGTTCTGTCCAATTTATGTTACCTCTTGGTCACATTATTCCACATCATGGATGTGGGTTTCGCCACTATGTTGACGACACTAAGATTTGACAGTACAATTTAAGAAATATAAACTAATGTTCCTATATATTTGTATGTTAGAAGGTCTTGAAAATGATGGCTTTTCTGTATTAGTTTATTAGGGAACAGTTAGAATGTTCATTTGGTATTTATTGAATCACTTGCGCAAATGAGTGTTCAAAACTGGCGATGCAATTCGTTTTCTAAAGGTGCCAAAGACCGTAGAGCATTACCCTGCATGTGTATAATAATGGCTGGGAGATTGAGGTGGGGTGCCAGGGTGCAGCTGTTCTGGGTTTTTTCATGGTCCTCTATTTGTTTCTTCTTTATTTAATTTTTGTGAATACTGTGGCTTAAACCTTGTTTGCATCCACAATATACAGTACCAACTTCTGTGTCGTTAATGTGCCTCTAGAGACCCCTGCATTTTTTCTGCATATGATCCATAAACCATGCTAGACTGCTTTTGTTGTTGTGAAAAGGCCATTTATAAAGTCATTCATTACTTTTTTTAAGTAGTTATGTTTTGCAAAAATCTTTCCATTCATAAAAATGTTCCAGTGTTGAAAAATCCTTTGTGCCTGCTGTGAAGTAATATAAGAGTTTCCATAGCTGAAAAATGAGAGCAGTATGAGGTGGATGACAAATGGACAGAATGCCAACTGTCAGGAGAGGATATATCTTTTGCTTCATTGTGCACAGCTTGTAGATTCAGGGCTGCTGATAACCAGATATGGGAGAACAGTCTTCCTGGCAGGAGAGGTCACCATTCACACAATATGTTGTATTCAGTATGAAGGAGAGAGAGAGCTCATAGATCACATTGAATAAAATGCTCATCATCAAGTGTTCTATCCATCTTGTTAGACAGTGATGTGAATAAACAAATATTAAGAGTCAGGGCATACAATTTGACACCCAATTGTTTGTGTATCCATTTTATGCTAAAATATATTGATATGCACGTGAATTGCATTTTCATAAGGAAGCAACCACTTTTACTGATGTAGACTTTTACTGTATGTAGCACACAACTTTGCGCTATCCAAAACTAACCAGAATATGTTCTGAAGACAATTGGTCACTGACATAGACTGCTCTTTGTATGTGATGTAGCTAAACAGCAGCTATGGACTCAGTTAATTTGCTTCTGAAAAGCCTCGAGTTTATGTGTGGTGTGTAGAGAGCACGATTAGTGGAGAGGTCCAGTTTTTCCAAAGGAGGAAAGTAGCTTGTGGAAGTTTCAGGCTTTCAGAATGTTGGCAGCCATATTTCTTTAGCATGATGGGCAATACAGCATTACCCACATTTACAGTATTTCTAGGCTGTGAAGAGCCCACAGTGTGGAACTGTAGTGGGCTACAGATTCCATTGCAGCTGGTGGATTTAATGATAAAGGTACTCCTGACTTAAGTAAGTGCGACCTTGGTTTTGTTCCACATTGCCTTATGTGCTATGCATATAGTTGCAGACCCTTGACTTTGTGAAACATTTCCATTTTCCCTTTTGGAGTTCTCTTTGGAATTTTACAATCTGCATCGCTACCCTTTGGGTGCCAGAGATGGAGCGAAGCGGTGCTGACGACAACTCATTCAAAAGCAAAAGCTGCTACCCCTTTGTCACCCTCACTGAAACCAATACTCTTCAGAGTCCTGAACTCTCTACTCTTCGTAGGTGGCTTGGAAATGTTACTAATTCTTCCACTGGATCTTTCATTTCCTTTTTAGGAATTTGATCTGCTAACCATTTTCTTATTCATATTTAATTTCAAGTCTTCGTAATTTTGGAATGCTGGATCAGTGTTATGGAGTTCCACTCACTTCTTCTGGAGGCTCTTGACAACCTTGATCTCCTGGACAGGTCATCATTCTCCTTAGCCTACAGTATATTGGTTCTGCATTGTAATAATATGGTGAATGCAATCAGCAAGGCAAACTGAATGTTAGGATATGGAGTTCTTAACTGAAATTCCAAAGGGATGACAGCAACCAAGTCACTTTCAGTCCAGCTGTTCTGAATCATAATCATTCCCACCATCATTTCTCAAAAGCTATATACATATGCAAATCTCACATTTCACATTTATCTTACATTTCCCTCCTCCACCCTATCTCCATTTTTTATCTACCTCTTGGTTAACTCCTCATTCTCCATAAAAGTCCCATCCTTCTTGACATACAGACAGGGGGTTAAGCCAAATTTCACTGTGCCTAAATATTCAATAAACATCCTCAAACACATCTATTTTTGGGGTATCATTATTCCTTTCCTGGTTTTTATGTGAAAATTTTGCCATGTAATGCACTGTTTAGAATATTCTGTACAATTTTGGTCTTTACTTTACCAATAAAATATCACTGCTACCGATTTACTGCACAAAATGTTGATGCAAATAGAGATGAAAAATACTTTAGGTTAAACCTTTCAGTGGTTAAATGAGTCACTGGAATATTCTGGTTATTTTAGACAAAAACACATCAGGCCGAGAGACAAATTACAAATGATATTAATGCTGCAGAAAATGAATGTCACCAAAATTGCTTAAAATGTTTTCAATTAAAAAATATGTACTTTCTGAAACACAACACCTAATTTCCATCTTACTCTATCCTTGCTGGAGGTGCTGAGCATCATTTAAAAATGTTTTACATCCTCACTATAAAACTCTTTGCTTTTTATTTTACGTTTGTCTGCACCCAAGTTTCGAATTTAAACATTTGGACTCGTGTTTCATATTTTCATCGTATAAAATGCGGCTTGCTGTTAACTTCTGAATGGAAGTACTCCCTCTGCATATTAGACTCATTGTTGTTGCTGTCATTAGGCAACCTATCTTAATACCAGGCTCTCATCAGTTTCAGTTTTCACTGTAGGCAGAGGAATGGCTCGATCTGACATCTTCTGGCCCTAAAAACCAGTCGGATTTGTTAGTGGATAGAAGATATCCTGTTTTTCATTATTTTCCTGGGTTTCCTTGTGCTTTAGCCAAGAAAACACTTTTGGTGCTTCTATTTTTCAAGGTATTAACATTAAGTACATTTTAAAGTATTAGCCTCATTGTTAAGATAATCACATAATTAGAGGTACTTGATAGAGTGTTTTTGAGGTATCTCATAATAACAAATCCCATGCATGTCATCATTTCAGAAATTATCGTGAGTCTACAGAAGTGAAGTTAGACTCCTGGGGCAAGGATTATCATCAGATCTATTAAGTATAAACCCTTCCCACGCCTTGGGCCTGTCTTTGTTACTAATGATATAAACAAGGCAGAGACATTTATTAATACTTTTTTTTTCCTAGCACATAATAGTCATTTCTTCTTCGAATGAATCACGGACATTTGCAGTATTTTCTTTTCCTTTTGTTTTGATTTGATTCATGTTGTATTTGTAGATAAAATGTAAAATTGTTCAGGTGGGTAGCTGCGTCAGCATGCGTAGGCTGCAAAAGAACAAGTAATAGGTTTATTCCATGCTGAAAAGAGAAGAGAGAAAACACAACGTTTCAGCTGTGAAGCCTTCTTCAGGTGTGAGAAATACAGGGCAGACAGCAAAGATTAAATAGCACAGGAGAACGAAAGCTGGGAGAGGGGAGGAGGCAGGAGGGGCAGA